GGCGCAGCCAGCACGGGCGCCAGCAGCGCTGCGAGCTGGTCCGCCGCATCCAAGCAGGTCTCGCGCGGACGGTCGTGGAACGTCTCAAGAGGGATTACAGGGAGTGAGGAGTGAGCAAGAACTTGTATCAGCAGCAACGCGTGGAGACTCTTGGCGAGGCGGTGGAGCTGACCGAGAGTCGACTCGGGAACACGCGTCTGTGGAGGCTGAAGCGCCTCCGCCAAAAATTGTAGCGGCTCAACAGCTGCATACTGAGCCGCTGCCGCGCCACCACCCGCGGCCACAAACTCCACCCCTGCAACTGGCGGAACCGGCGGCAGATGCAGACGAGAGCCGGGAGCTGGCGCCGCTACAGAAGGAGAAGGAGCTGACGGGGCGGCGACAGGCGGAGGAAGTGGAGCAGCCGGCGGAAAGACCACAGGAAGCACAGTCGGACGAGGAGCCACGGGCGCCGGCGCAGCCCGCAGCGAACTGCTCTGGCTCTGCGCCGCCCTCTCCTCGCGCACGGCCCGGGACACCTCCTGCTGAAGATCCGCCATTGTCACGAGCGGACGATACCTCCCGCCGCCACCACGCCCGTGGGGACCCCTCCAGCCCCCATTGCCACCCGGGTGAGCGGGCCACTGGGCCTGCTGCTGATAGCGCCGGGGGGAGTTGCGCCGGCGCCGCGACGACTCGCGCTCCTGTTGGGGCGCTGGGGAATGGGGCCGGGAGAGACGGCGGTCAGGCGACGGGGGACGAGACGGCTCACCAACAGGGACTGCTGGCGGCAGAGCGGGAGCCATCAGGTTCGCGCCGGGAGGCGCAACCATCGGGGCCGGGCCGACAGTGGTGGCGGACGCCGCCTTCGGGGAAGAAGCAGACGCCGGCGCAAGCTCGCCGGGGACAGAGACGACAGGTGCCCCAGGAGCGCCAGGGACAGGGACAGGGGGAACAGCAACTTCCCCTGCAGGAGCAGCCGTCGTCGGCGCCGCAACGGGAGCAGGGGGAACAGGAGCGACAGTCGGAGCGGGAGGAGCAACAGCCGGCGCAGACGGCGCAGACTCGTTCACGGCGTGAGGACCCGCGGATACGAGGGGAAGAGTCTTTTCAGCGTCTACTATCGCGGGCTTCGGAGCAGACGGCGGCGGGGACCCCACTCCGGAGGCAGACGACGGCTTTTCGAACGCAACCAACGCAGCGCCAACGCGCATTGGCGAGTAATCGGTCACACCAGCAATCACCATCGCGAGACCGAGGAGCGCGAGGCGGAGGGCGGGAAGCAGCTAGCGGACAGGGAGGAGGGCCAGAGAACGGCTACCAGTCGGAGGCTCGAAGGGCTTTAACCAGGCTAGATAATGACGAAGAGGGAACGGACCCCTCTTATAGGGAGGAGCCCATGCCCTCGAGCGAAGATGAAGAGACGGAGGGAGAGGAAGGAGTAAGGGAGAACGGGAGGAGGACGGGAGCAAGAGCAAGGCAGTCCCTTGGCGAGCAAAGGGACACCGCTGGTGGACCGTCCGATGCCGATCGTACGGGCGAAATTCCCACCACGCCATCACAAGCGAGGACGGGCCGCACCGGGCGACATCGGGCCGCGACAGACACGGCGGCGGTGCGAGATAATCCCAATCACCCTCGCTATTTCACGCCAGAGGAGCTGGCGATGCGGGAAGACTGGTTCGCAGACATCGCGAACTGGGATATCCCTGCCCTCTGCGACAGTCGGCAGCCATCTCTGGCACGGCGGTTACCGCCAAACTTGTGCCAGTTGTTTTCGCTGACGCTACTGACCCCGTTACTCCACCTGTCACGAAACCCGGAATCAGAGGCAGGTTGGCGCCTTCTCCTTTTTCTGCCACGTCTGACGCTTCGCCAAAACTCGCCACGGAAACCGAACTGGCCCCAGATCAAGGCCCGGCTCTGAGCCTTCCAGCGTGTCGAGTGGGACCAACTGTACAAGGACGCGATTGAAGCAGTCAACTCACCCGCGCCACCACGTCATCAGCCCGATGCTACCGGGGTCATCAGCCGAGCCGAGGGCCTGGCGAAACGTGGTAGCCTGCGCCGAGCCGTGTTGGCGTTGGAGTCAACGCCAGTCTGCAAACCAACACCAGAAATTCTGGAGGAGCTCCGACTGAAACATCCGCCAGCCGAACCAGGACAAATGACATGGCCACCCACGCCCGAGTCAAAATTATCCATCACCCACGCTGACTTCGCCAAACTGCTGGGGAGGTGCGAGAACGGGGTCGGTGCCGGACCCTCGGGAATGACTTTCGAACACATGCGCGACGCGGCAATCACGAACGGGCGAGTCAGCACCCATCTCCACGCATTGATAAACACCATTTTGGGGGGCAACCTACCGGCACCGGTGGCGGACCTACTGACAGCCTCGCGACTTATAGCACTGGCCAAACCTGGTGGGGGGGCTCGACCAATCGCGATTGGCGAGTGCATCACTCGGCTGACAGCCAAGGCAGCCCTCGCAGCCACGGGCGAGGCTGCACGTGACTATTTTCTGCCCCTACAGTATGGAGTGGCTGTGCCAGGAGGAGCCGAGGCAGTTATCCACGTGGCGCGTGCGTACCTGGACAAGCTACCCAACAGCCTGGTGCTGCAGACCGACATCTCGAATGCATTCAACAGCATATCCCGACAAGCTATCGCGACGGCGTTACAAGAACCCGGGCTATCGCCACTAGTGCCGCTGGTGAAACTGACCTATGGTAACCCGTCCAAGTTGCACCTCGACGCAAAATTCGAATGTGACCCGCTGACCAGCGAACGGGGCGTGCGTCAAGGGGACCCACTTGGCCCTTTACTGTTTGCGGCGGGAATACACCCAGCACTACGCAACACTGCTGAGGCATATCCCCATGTGCTTTGTCTGGCTTACGCTGACGATGTCACATTCCTGGGGAAGGCGGCGGACACTGTAGCTGCATTCAATCACTTCACCGAGAGATTGGCGCACCTGGGGCTAAGACACAACGCGCAGAAATGCGCAGCCTGGAGCAGGGAAGAAGCAGTGAAGGATCAGCTGCCGCAGGGAGTCCCATTTTCCCACGACGGCGTGCGCTTTCTGGGAAGCTTCGTGGGCCCTGACAGCGGGGCGTCACAGTTCCTGTCGGGTCAGCTACGGGAAATGGCAAAACCCTTGCCACTCCTTGAGAAAGCCGACCCCCAGGTAGCATCGTTATTGCTCACCCGCTGTATCTCGAGGCGGGTGGCATACCTCACCAGAACGACACCCCTTCGCCTTCTGCCTCTCGACACCTGGGGTCAGTGGGGCACTGATCTGCTTGCAGCGCTACTCACAGCATGCGGCATCCGCGTCCCCACCTGCCGCATTGAACAAGCACGTGTCTGGGCGCAGGCCTCACTGCCGCCGTCCCTGGGAGGAATAGGCATTACCGACCCCCTAACCGAGGGAGTATACGGGTACGCAGCGAGCTTCACACAGGCCGCGCTTTTCCTGGCATCGCTGGACGGCGCCCCTGATGGCGCGTTGACGCAGGCTCGGGACCACATGCTGCTGCCTGCAGACGTCACCACGCCTCTCCACGCATGGCTATCGGAGTGCGAAGCGGCTTTACCGGAAGACGCGCGGGAGATCCTGGAGAAAGAGCGGCTGCAGCGATCAGACATCAGGCTCCAGCACGCATTGGCACTGAGGGTACATGGGAGCAGATATGCCGCACAGGTCAAGGAGACTCGACGGATGGCGCTGAACCCCCTGTGCGGACACACACAGCGCATGTACTCACTGACCGGTTACGGGACCGGGGATTGGCTGACCGCTATCCCCATTGCGGCCAACAGGAGGATAGGGCCCACTCACTTCTCTAATGCCATGCGTTTCCGGCTGGCCCTCCCCTTCTCCACACCGAAGAAGTGTGACTGCGCTAACCACATCGCCATCACGGACCCCCGCCTCCCTAACCACCTACTCCGCTGCGGCACGGGCAAGCATCGCATCAACACCCATAACGAGCTGCGCGATGCCTGCATTAGCATGGCCCAAGACGCGGGGTTCATTGTCCACGGCGAGTCGTCGGCGCACTGCCCCATTGAGGAACAGACGGCTGATTTTACAATGACGGACAGAAGTAGTGGGGCCGTCTACGTATGCGACGTCACCATTACCGACCCTATTAGCACTAGGGATCCGGAGGCGCAGAAAGGCAGGGGCTGGGCGGCGCGGGAGCAAGCGGACAAGAAGATCCAGCATTACGCCACCCTGCCGGAGACGGTGAAGTTTTTCCCACTTGCGGTAGACACCTACGGCTGCCCCTGCGCGGAGGTGCCAGTCTTCCTGAAGCTCTTGGCGGACACTGCAGCTCGGCGCCACTTCAACGCCGACTCCAAATCGTTCTATGCTGCAAAGTTCCTGCACCAGTTCAGGCAACGCTGGTCGGTGGCCCTGCAGAGGGCCCAATCCGTGGGCCTCCTGCTCAAGCTTGGAGAGGCTGCGGCAGTAGAGAACCCGCCTGTAGGGGGGATTGGGGACGAGCTGCACCTTGGGGACTGCTTCGCAGTCATTGAGCCCCTTGTGGAGTTGTAGATTTGTGGTGCTTGTGCTTTACATGTGTGTTACCTACGACTCTATGACTTGCATGCTTGTACCTGCCGACTATATCAATACAAGGACCATTAGAGAGAGAGAGAGAGAGAGAGAGAGAGAGAGAGAGAGAGAGAGAGAGAGAGAGAGAGAGAGAGAGAGAGAGAGAGAGAGAGAGGGTACTAGCCTCGGCCCTCTGCCCTTAGCCCTTTGCCCTCTCCTATCCTAGCTATATAAGGGGCCTCCTGGGCCTCTTCTCCTCATTATCCAGTTTTGGTGCTGAATGTTTCGCTCGTGAGAGAGAGAGAGAGAGAGAGAGAGAGAGAGAGAGAGAGAGAGAGAGAGAGAGAGAGAGAGAGAGAGAGAGAGAGAGAGAGACCGTTATATCAAACAATGGCGGCATCAACACCATCCTAAGCAACAATGGCGACACGAGGGCAAGCGGAGCCCGGATCTACATCCGGTGAGCTCCAAGGGCATGGAGAATGCCAGTTAAAGTCCGCCACAGCTCCCGGACCACCAGCGTACTTGCGCCGATCGCCGCGGCTCCAGACCCTGCGCGCAAGTGCCGCCTTAAGCCCCGGACAGCCTCGTCCAGCTGTCCCACAGCCGCAGCGCCACCCTCTGCGGGCGCTGCCAACGCGGGCGCCAGCAGCTGCGCGAGCTGGTCCGCCGCGTCCAGACAGGTCTCGCGCCGCCTGTCACGAAATGAGTCAGCAGGGATCGGAGGGAGAGACGCGTGAGCCAGCACCTGAATCAGCAGCAGCGCGTGCAGGCTCTCCGCCAGACGGTGCAATTGCCCGAGGGTCGATTCAGGTACACGGGTCTGCGGGGGCTGAAGTGCCACCGCCAAGAACGAAAGCGTGTCGTCAGCAGCGGGATAAGGGGTGTGCTGTGCCCCAGCCGCCCCACCACCAACAGCCACGAACTCCACACCCGCCACGGGCGGAACAGGGGGGAGGCGGAGACGAGAGCCAGGAGCAGGGGCGGAGGCAGCAGGAGCTGGGGGCGATGGAGCATGAGGAGGAGGAGGAGGCGCAGCAGCAGAGGCAAGGCCCTCGGGAGGCAGTGCCTGACGGGGAGCCACATGCGCCGGCGCGGCCCGCAGCGAACTACTCTGGCTTTGCGCCGCCCGCTCCTCGCGCACCGCCCTCGACACTTCCCGCTGAAGATCAGCCAGGGTCACGGGCGGGCGGTATGCCCCACCACCACCACGCCCGCGGGGACCCCTCCAGCCCCCATTGCCACCAGGGTGGCCAGACCACTGGGCCTGCTGCTGGTAGCGCCGAGGAGAGTTTCGGCGACGCCGCGACGACTCGCGCTCCTGTTGAGGCACGGGAGAATGGGGCCGGGACTGGCGGCGGTCTGGCGACAGAGGACGGGACGTCTGCGCCACCGGGCCCGCCTGCAGCACAACTGGAGCAGTCGAGTCCACGGCCGGAGGCGCGACCATCGGGGCAGGGCCACCAGTGGTGGCGGACGCCGCCTTCGGCGACGAAGAAGATTCCGGCGCAGGCACGCCGGGAACAGAAGCGGCCGGAACAGCGGGCGCGCCAGGGACAGACCCAGGGTGAGCAGCAAACCCCCCAGGGGGAGCAGGCGCGACCGGCGCAGCAGAGGGAACGAGGGGAACAGGAGCAGCATCGGGAGCGGACACGCCAAGTGGTGCCGCGAGGTTCGGAACCTCTGGCGGCGGGACAGCAGGAGCAGACTTCACAGCAGGAGGAGGCGCCTCAACAGTCGCGGGAGCCAGGGCAGCGGGAGGAGCGGGCAACGGTGCGTGATGCGGCGACATCTCCGCAGCCGCCCGCGCAGATGCCGATACAACCGGAGGAGCAGCCACAGCAGACACCGCGACAAAGGGTAGTGGCGGATAATGCATCTCGTCGCCTAGCGCCACAGGCATCTCGGGCCGAACGAGGCGGAGGTCGCAGAGGCACAGCGGGACGTGGAGGAGGACCCGAGAACGGTTTCCAGAGAGCGGCAGGGCGGGCTTTAAGACGGGCTAATAACGAGGAGGCGAGGGACCCTACTTATATAGCACAAGCAGCAGCTGAATCAACAACGGAGGAATCAGGAGGGGTTGACGAGGAGGAAGCAGAAGGACACCGCCGAGCAAACCCAACATCAAGCCGGGCCGCATGCAGGCCACCCACGGGTGGGGGGGAGCAGGACCCACTGGCACCGGACACCACCGCGCCGCCCCCACAAACCCGCCAATTCTCGCCTGAGCAACTGGCGAGGGACGATGGGCGGTTCGACGAAATTGGAAATTGGGATCTGTCCCCCCTACGCGACAGTCGTCAGCCCCCACTGTCGCGAAAACTCCCCGCTGACATTCGCCCCCTTTTCGCATCGGCCCTTCTGACACCACTGCTCCGCCTCGCGCGTTACCCTGACTCAGTCGCAGGATGGCGTCTGTTACTTTTTCTCCCGCGCCTAACACTACGCCTGCCCTCAACGGAGAAGCCCGATTGGCCAGCTGTGAAGCAGCGACTGCGCCAATTTCTCAAGGGCGAATGGACGCAGCTCTACGAGTCCGCATCAGCCGCGATCAATGGGCCACAACCGCCACGTCACACACCTGACGACCAGGGCAGGCGCGCCAGAGCAGAGGGCCTCACACGCAAGGGAAGCTTACGAAGAGCGATGGAGTCAACTCCGGTCGCTGACCCATCAGCTGACACGCTGGCAGCCCTCAAAGCCAAGCACCCCCAAGCGCCAGCTGGACTCATCGATTGGACCATCCCCGGTACAGAGCAGCCCGCCTCCATTGACATGGGCGCATTCGTAAAAATATTATGCCGGTGTGAAAATGGAGTGGGAGGCGGACCTTCTGGAATGACCTTTGAGCACCTGAGGGACGCTGCCATCGCAAACAGTGGGGTTACCACACACCTGCACGCGCTCGTCAACACAATCCTAAAGGGCAATCTCCCAGACGAGATCTGCTCGCTCCTTACCGCCTCGCGCCTCATCGCCTTAGCTAAGCCTGGGGGAGGCACTCGCCCCATCGCAGTAGGCGAGTGCATCTTACGCATCGCCGCGAAATCTGCACTCGCGTCGTTATCGGAAGCATGCCGGGCCCACTTCCTCCCACGCCAGTACTGCGTATCGGTCCAGGGCGGCAGTGAGGCGATCATTCACGCCGCGAGAACCTTCACACACGCGAATCCAGAGGCGCTGATTCTACAGACGGATTTAGCGAACGCCTTCAACTCCATTAGCCGCGCAGCAATAGTAGACGCACTACGAGGCTCGGCGCTGCAGGGCATTATTCCGCTCACCAGGATATCGTACGGCGAACCGGCCCAGCTTTTCCTAGATGCTGGGTTTGAATGCGAGCCGCTCATCAGCGAGACCGGTGTGCGTCAAGGGGATCCGCTTGGCCCGCTACTCTTCGCCGCCGGGATTCATCCCGCCCTTACCAAAACTGCAGCGGCCTTCCCCTCCGTGATGTGCCTGGCCTTTGCGGATGACGTTACATTCTTGGGCGAGCCGCTGGCTGTTCGAAGGCCTTCTGCCACTTCACAGAGGGCCTGCGCGACGTGGGGTTGCGCCACAACCCAGAGAAATGCGCGGCGTGGAGTGCAGCGGCGGTCGATCCTCAGGTGCTGCCGCAGGGGGTCCCATTCTGTGAGGAGGGCCTGCGGGTGTTGGGGAGTTTCATCGGATCACAGGAAGGTGCAGCGGCTTTCCTACGCTCGCAACTCGAGCTCATGTCTACCCCACTGCCGCACCTCTCAAAAATGGACCCCCAAGTAACCTCACTGCTACTGACGCGGTGCATTTCCAGGCGCATATCCTACCTCGCCCGCACAACCCCACTCTACCTGTTGCCCGAAGCGGAATGGACCAGGTGGGGCCGGGCCCTGCTACACGCCCTACTTGACGCATGTGGGGTGCGCCACCCACGGGGAGAGTCGGAGGCCGCGCGGATATGGGACCAGGCATCACTCCCGCCAAGCCTAGGAGGGCTAGGCCTTGCAGACCCAGTGGTGGAGGGTCGGTACAGCTTCCTGGCCAGCCTCGTACAAGCGCACTCCCTCCTCAGCCCCCTCCCGGGCCCGGCGGGGTCTCACCTCACGGCAGCACTACACAGCCCTGAAGCGGCGGACACGAGCCCGAACGAACTGCGGAGGTGGATCAACGACTGCAGAGAGAGCCTAACACAGGAAGCAAGGGACCTGATTGCCTTCGAACTAGCCAAGCCCGCAGGCCAGCTTCAACACCGACTGGCACTGATAGTCCAAGGCAGTAGGAGTGCCGCACAGATCATTCCCTCTAGACAACTGGAGCTGAACCCCCTGGCGGGCCACACACAGCGCCTCATCTCACTCACGGGCTACGGGGCAGGGGACTGGCTACTCGCCATCCCCTACATGCCCGCCCTACGGCTCTGCCCCGAACACTTCACCTTCGCCCTCCAGTTCCGGCTCGGCCTGCCCATGTCCGTGCCCAAGTGTTGTGACTGTGACAAGCGGGTTGCTATCCTTGACAAGAGGCTGCCGAACCACCTGCTGCGCTGCGGTACGGGACACGGTCGGACCAACACTCACAACGAGCTCCGCGACGAGTGCATCCGCATGGCGCAGGATGCCGGGTTCGCGGTGCACAAGGAGTGCACTGCCTTCAGCCCGGTGGATAACAAGAAGGCCGATTTGGCCTTCCGGGATCGGACCTCGGGGGCGGTGTGGCTGGCGGACGTAACGATCACCGACCCCATCAGCAAACGTGATGAGAGGGCAAGGAAGGGGAGGGGCTGGGCAGCGCGGGAGCAAGCAGACAAGAAGATAGGGCTTTACCAGGGCAGGGCAGACTTCGCGGGGTTCTTCCCCTTAGCAGTAGAGACCTACGGCTGCCCCTGCGAGGAAGTACCGACCTTCCTCAAGCTCCTAGCTGACACGGCAGCGAGGAAGCTCTTTAATGCGGACCCCTCTACCTACCAGGCCGCTAAGATGCTTCATCAATTCCGCCAGCGGTGGTCGGTGGCTCTGCAAAGAGCACAGGCGGTTAGCTTCCTCATGAAGCTGAACCTTGCAGCACAGGCGGAAAACCCCCCCTTAGGAGGGCCCGAGGGGGAGCTGAACCCAGGGGACTGTTTTGAAACACTTGAGCCCCCGCAGGGGGGCTGCTAGGGGGCATGGGTAGTCACTCACATGTTTGTTTCTGTTTTGTGATAACTATACTCGTTGTACTGCATGTTATATCAATGGAGGACCGTTTGAGAGAGAGAACAAGAGAGAGAGAACGATCAAGAATATGCTCCTACCTAGTGAATCAACTCTTTGAGCAGAATTCTTAATATCATTTCAAAACTCAATTAAGGTGGGGGAAGAAATCACGGCGTACGGAAGAAAACAAAAGTAAGAGCAGGAGCTGAAAGGAGCAAGCAAGTAGAATGTGAATCGAAATAAAGGAGAGCAGAAGATCGGAAGAAGTGGAGAGAAGCAGAGGGAAGGAGAGAACAAAAGTACGGTGCATAACCTAGGAAGAAAGAAAGGTTAAGAAACAAAAACGAATGGAAGAAGTGGCGGTTAAGCTAGGAAATCTAACCTCGAAAGGGTTTTCAGGCAAGAAATCTGTCAAACATATATCTATGTTTTAGACTTGGGTAGGCTGTAGTGGGGCACTCACTGTAGAGTACAACCCCTTAGGGTTTTCCTTCTTGTATCATTCTCATCTTAGTGAAATCATCCATGCCTAAGTTTCTAAGATGGTATCTAGAGCAGTAGGTCTTTAGGACCTAAGATTAGGGCCCACCGGTTACCGCGTTACCTCACCTACGGCCTTGGCTGCCTGCCTGCCTTGCCTGCTGCCCGCGCGCGCCTCGGCTGCACGCGCGTGGCCCTTTTTTTTTTTCCCCCGCGCGCCGCTTAAGCAGCCCGCGCAGCCCGTTTTCGGCCCCGCGCGCCGCGTCAGCCGCCCGCGTAGCCTGCTGCCAGCCCGCGCGCCGCTTAAGCCGCCCGCGTGCAGCCCGCTTAGGCCCTGCCCGCGCAGCCCGCCGCCGCACGCAGCCCGCAGCCGCGCGCAGCCCGTCGCCACGCGCAGCCAGCAGCCGCGCACAGCCCGTCGCCACGCGCAGCCAGCAGCCGCGCGCAGCCCGCAGCAGCGCCTCGGCTGCTCGCGCGCGCATCACTCTTTCGCGCGCGGCCGCGTCAGTCGCCAGCGCGGCCCGCCGCCGCGCCGCGCGCCACGTTCGCAGCCCGTGCGTCCAGTCGGCCACGCGCGGCCCGCCGTCGCCCCGCGCGCCGCGTCTGTCGCCAGCGTGGCAACCTGCGTGGCCACCTGCGTGGCCACCTGCTTGGCCCGCTGCTGCTTAGCGCGCTGCTTTAGGAGCTCGCGTGCGGCCGCTCCTGCCTCTTGTCTGCTGCCTGCTTCCTCCTGCCTCTGCCTGCTGCCATTATGACGACGCTTAACATTCTCGCGTTCGAGCCTGACGGTCGCCCCATAGAGTTCGCTGTGTGGTTGGATGATCTCCAACTGTTCCTTCTGACCGATGCCAAAGAGGGCGTTTCACTGTTCGATTACGTGTCTGGCACGGCCGTTGCTCCTGCTGCCGATGCTCCTGCTCTCGAACGCTCGCAGTGGCAGACCCGCGATGCTGCTGCACGCCTAGCTATTAGGAACCATCAGCCGATTACTGAGCGCGCGCATTTCAGCCAGCACAAAACTGCCAAGAAGCTGTACGACGCTGTAGTTGCGCGCTACTCCTCCTTGGCCACTGCAGCCATAGGTCGGCTCATGCTACCCTACCTGTTCCCCGACCTTTCCTCGTTCACCACTGCTGAGGACCTCATTTCCCACCTGCGCGCTACTGACACTCGCTTTCGTGCCGCCCTTTCAGCCGAGTTCTGCGCCGCAAACCCCCCCTCGATGTACTTCACTCTCTATTTCCTCGTCACC